GAGAGCTGGATTATAGTGGAGTGCTGACAGGCTGTTGGCCCTGTTACGACATGGCTGGTAAATCCCACTAGGAGAGTGAAAGAGAATCAGTTCATACCAGTTGCTGTGGAGAGGGAAGTTAGAGGTGGAGGAGTAGCCTATAGACCATATAGGGTTGAAAAAAGGGAGGGGGACTTGGCGGCAGACCCAACAGCTTGTCGCTTCCAGCCGACTTTTCTCCATCGTCGGCAGGTCTCACTTTTCCAGGCTACGACGAAGACACTGTACAGCATGTCTCACTTTTCCAACCGCACGATATCAATCTCGAGCTCAAAGGATGGAGCAAGAGACAATGGATGCCTTCACGACTGATGGAGGAAGCTTTGCCTTATTTTGATCGATTAGAGCCATTATGAGTTCTCTTTTTTTTTTTGGATTTTTTTTACCGGAAATTGAGGCCCTGTCCCTGCCGCAATGCGCCTCTTTGTGCAATTGAATTATCTAAAAAATAAAAAACAAAAGAATAACATGTTGCCGAATCAAAAACAGGCTGGTCTTCTGTGGATGATTGTCCATCTGGCAGTGGCCACTGCAGAGTGGCAGGCGACAAAATCACAGTATCAGGATGCCATGTGTCGGGTATGCGGGTAAGTGGACGAAACAATTCCCCACCTGTTTGTGCAATGCGAATAAACAATACATTTTTGGGAATGGTGGGATCAAGAGATGGCAGACTGAACTCCGCTTACCCCCGAAATGTTGACCCCACAGGGAATACTGCTCGCACCGCTCGTGCAAGGAAAGGAGGGCAGGCAGGTGGAAAGATGTAGCCTGTATGCATATGAGATTGTGAGGTCCGCCACCGGCTGGGGAATCTCGGTCCACCAGGTGTGCAGTGGTGAGGGGAGGAGAGAGACCGGCAATGGCAGCCATAGAGGCAGCAGTGAAGGCACCACTTAGGCAGGCAATTGCCGCCAACTTCCAGCACTGGCACATCCAGTCCAGGGTCCCACTCCAGGAGAGTTCCCTGTTCAAAAGAACATGGAAGTTATTCCCTGCGCTAGTTTGCCTGGACTTGTCCCGGGGTTCGTTTTCATTAGGGGGCCTACTAAGTTACAATAATGAGTAACATGACAGCTCTGTATATCGCTCATGCAGGGAAGCAAGATGCAGTCTGCTACCATCTTCACCCAAATAGAACGCCCGGGCATTATCGCTGCATCTGGACTGAAATTTGGGCCAAATGCAGCTATAATTACCGGGCGTTCTATTCGGGTGAAAACGGTAGTGGATAGTAGTTCGGAGAAGGGCGAAGTGCAACACATATTTATTTGGTGAAGGGGGTATAGGACATGCAGGAACGAGAAAGATCAAGGGTAGTAGGGATGGTGATCAGAGTAGATGGTTAGTGTGTGTTACCTATTACAGTAGGGGATGAGGAACGGGGATAAAGGGGAGGTTTTGTGAGAGCAATTTGGGATGGGTCAATGTAAAGAGGATGAAAAGATTTCGAAAATTAATAGGTGCATTCCGAGCCGGGAATCCTCAAGTGGAGACTGGAGTGCTCCTGTCAGTCACAACTGAGGACAGCAACGGTAGGGGTGATATGAACGATTCAGAAAGGAGGGGTGCTGAGTGCCCCAAATGATATACGAGCATGGGGTGACATTTTGACTTTGTAGTAGTAGGGTCACGATAACAGAGGAATAGCCAAGAATGAGTGTTGATGACAAGGAAGCAAATTAGTAATGACAAGTAAAGCATAGTACTGACAAGTACCGAACAAAGAGACTGGGGATTAGGGGTTATGTGGTAAACTTAGTGGAGGTATGGGGCTGCATATGGAAGCTGAATAAGGGTGGAGAATTGATGTGGCCACAGCATAGAGGTAGGCAATCCTTGAATAGCAGGAACATCGTTACTCGCCGGAGGAAATGACGATAGAGGCTTGCCCCCCCCCCGCGAGCGTCTGGGTACACTGTGCGTCTCCTGGCTAGAGGGACCCAAGCATACAGAAGTCTTGCTGCCCCCTTCTCGCATTGCAACAACGCTGCACTGCCCGGGGTGCCTAGGGCAGAGCTGTTCCTCTACTACTCTCTATATTTGTTCGTGCTTGCTGGTGACAAGGAACTGGACTGTCGCCCCCCAGAAAAGCAGGGGCATGAGTGTGTTGTTGGGAGTTAAAGAAAAGAAAAGAAAAAGCCGCTATGCCCACAAGAAAAAGGGAAACCAACAGAAGACACAAACCTCCTGTTGGTCATTTGTTGAGGAAGAAGAAGTAGCCGCAGCAACTGGTCTGGATATACGTTCGTCACACCTCTCAGATCATGATGGCTACAGTTGCTCGAATTCTTTTTTTTTTTTTGTGTGGATTTTTATTTGTTTTGTTTTCACTTTATTGACTTGTTACTGTTTCTCAGAAGAATTTGTTTTTTCATTAGCAAAACCTTTTCTTGTTCTATGCATAGAAAAACCATCATTTATTTGCACACAAATGACCTAAGCTTTGAAAACATATATGCAAATCCCCCTGACCCTGAATCTACCCGGCTGTCACAGTGCGGTAACAAGACTGATTCCCTTGAGGAGTTAGAAAAAGAGTTATTAAATTTGATATACTCATGGGTAGTGAAATGAAGTAGAATGAGGGGTGAGTTGCTCCTTGTTGAAGTTGAGGTCAAGGCCAACGGGCCTAGCTCAGTTGGTACACCAATGATCTGTTGACGTACAGACCTGAGTTCGAATCCAGATGCAACAAAATGACCAGGATAATCATTCTGAATTACCTGGGCCCGGTCAGTTCAATGATGATATCCAACGTTTGTCTCCCTTTTAAAGGGAAAACAGAGAAAGAGAAAAAAAAAGAAGTTGAGGTCAACGTAAGTTCGAACCTTAGTAGATGAATGGTCAACTCTGTGTTATGATGTTATCTAAGTCGATTGTTTCCTCGCATGAGGATGTAGTAGGAGTTAGCTACACTACCATCTTCACCCGAATAGAACGCCTGGTCATTATGGCTTTCATAATGAAGAGGAAGTTTGGTGCAGCTAACAGATCGCCCTGCCTAACCGACCTCGACATCTTATATTTTGCTGAAAGGTGGCCATTGACTTGCACCTGCCCGTGCGCATCATTATACAGGACTCTGATCCATTTTCGAAAGTCCGGGCCTACCCCCATCCTTTCCATGCACTGCTGTAGGAAGCTACAGTTCACCTGATCGTAAGCCTTTTCAAAGTAGAAAAAGAGAATTGCCGCGTTGATCCTTTTGTCCCTGATATAGCGTACTGATTTCGTCAACGTCATGACGTTATCGAGGATGAAACGCCCAGGGATAAACCCAGTTTGGTCTAGATGGAAGCACCCCTCTGTGACCACTCGAAGTCTGTTTGCCAGGGCCTTGGCCACAATCTTATGTGTCAGTGTGCGAAGAGTTACTGGCCTATAGGTTCGAATGTCTGCCGGGTTTCCTTTTCTATATAGGAGCGTGACAATTCCCGTGGCCGGGTCTTGTCCTAGCCCCTCCCTTTGCCATGCTTGCTCAAGGAAGGTTTCATACTCACTGCCCAGGATTGGCCAGAATTCCAGCAGAATTGCCTAGTCAGTCCATCTCTTCCGGGGTGCTTATCAGGTGCCATGGACTCCAGGAGCTCCTCCTGGGACAGTGGGGCCTCAAGCTTTGCAGCTTGTGTCTGAGAGATTGTAGGCTCAAGATATGCCAAAAACTTAGACCGTGCCCGTTCCACTTGCTGTTTGGGATGCTCGCCTTCCCTTGACTTGTAAAGGTTGCTTTAGAAGTCTTGGGCTATCACTACCATACCTTATGTGCTGGTTGTCAGCCCCTGTGGTCCGTCCAATTTATCTATCAAAGCATTTCTGCCCCTGTTCTTAATTTTCTGGAAGAAGAACTTCGTCATTCTTTCCCCCTCTTTCCACTCCTTCACTCTAGCCCTCAGTTGCGGGCCCCGGGTTCTCCATCTTTCCCAATCTCCTAGTTCTGATCTTGCCGCCTCCAAAGTCCTCTCATACACGTCCGTGTCGGTGTGCCTGATGAGTTTTTTCTCTGCTATTCTGATGGCTTGTTGGAGCTCCTGCTCTCTCCTCTTCCTTTTGACCGCTAGTTGTCTTGCCGCCACCGCCGTTGCCTTAGAGAGAGACTTCATCAAATGTGGGAAGGACTGCGTCTCCGGGTTATGGGATAGACAAATTTGTAGGACTGCCTGTCTCAATTCGGTGGTTTGGATTAGCGAGTTATTCAATTTGTAAAAACTCTTACCCCTAGTACATTGCTTTTCTACGATTAAGTGTAGGTAGATGGGCTTGCGATCGAGGCCCGCCATATAAGGTAACTCCCTATTCCCACTGCATGAATCATACCAATTACATCAAGTGAGGTCAGGAAATAGTCGATTCGCGACACCGAGATGTGCTGACTACGATTTCTTTTGTAATAAGTAAACTGTCTCTCCTCTGGAACGAATAATCTAAAGGGGTCTATCAGATCCCTACCCGCCATCATGTTGTGGATTGGGAGGGCCTCCTCTCCTGCCAATCCTTCCCCTTGCCTATTGCTCCCTGACATCCTATCCAGGTTAGGATCCAAAGCGGCGTTCCAGTTGCCTACTAGGATGAGGCACCTGGCAGGGTCCAAGAGTGTATGTATGCTGTCCACCAGCTGCGCTCTCTGTTGGAACCCGTTGGCGCAGTAAACTGCCAGCAGAGTGTATGATTCATCGTGGAATGCAAAATCCACTTTTACCCATCTCCCTTCTTGTCTATCCACTTGGGTGTCCCCTACCACTATCCTTTCTGCTGCCACGGCCCTGTTGTTCTGTAGAATAGCGACTCCCGCTGAGTGCGGCCTGCTTGCTGGCGCCCATTGGGCCATCTTGACCCATCTCAATTTCTGGGTCAATCTGTTTTGTGTCTGTTGGTGCTCCCGTGATTCCGTAAGATGTGTTCCTTGAAGGCAGATAAAGTCCGGTGGGTCCCTGTCGTACCATGCTGTGGACTTCATAATATTATTCCACTTGTCTTGATTATCCAGGATGCCTGCTAGACCGTTGACATTCCACGACGTGATTTTCAATTCTGGTTTTTCTGTGCGTGCGTGCTCCTCCCTTTTTCTCTTTGCTTGTCTCCCCTCCCCTTGATTCTCCATGGTTGTTTAAATCTGGGTTTCGGGGATCTTCATCTCTCTTTTGAAATTCAAGAGACAAGCGACGCGATGTCTATCCTTGTGGAGTCCGGCTCGATCTTGCTTTCCAAGAACTCTAGCTTCCATGCAAAGGCCTCCATTTTTACTGCGATGGCTGCGCTTCTGGCTACCCATTCTGCAGCTTTCTCTCCTCCCAGTAGCCCATATGGTATGGTCTCTACCACCTGCCACGGCATCCATACCAGATCGTCCTTGAGCGTTGCCTCTTCCTGCAGGACCAACAGTATCGGCCTGAAGTCGACCACCAGGTTCCCGCTTTCGGTGACCCCCTCTTCCGCTAGTGCTTCCTTTCCTCCTAGAACGTGAACCCGGGTAGGTAAGTCCTCTGCAATCAGGCTTCGGAAGTCTTTCTCGGTGCAGGCGCTCACCTTCATGCTGATGAGTTGAAGCGTGCGATAGATTGCAACCTCCCAGTCCGAATGCTTCAGATTCCAGCGACACGGGAGGACTACTCTTTGCTTGGCCCCATTCTTCCCGTCCAGTCTTGCTGCCGCCTTTATTTCTCTTTGCTGCCCCTGTGCTATTGTTACATACTCGTGAATACTTCAACGAGTATGGGGCAGAACCAAAGATCAACCAATATAAGATGAGCATATATGCAGCGGAAGTCTGATAAATGGACTGACTCACATAGACTGACTCACACAGATATCACTCCACACACAAACAATCGTGAGATGGTGGGGTCTGAGCCAAACACTGACGATGCTCAGGCCCCGTACAAACATACACAGATGAGAGGTGGGAGGAGAGACGAAGGAGGTGGGAGATGTAGGTAGCACCAGATGTCACCGAGATAGAATGCAGTAGGTCACCGATATGGWATTCCAAAATGTCATCGAACAAGATCAAAATGTCGTGGACAATAAGTCACCAATGTCGGAGATACAGAGTCCCAATGTAACCGGTGTCCAATCTGTGATGCCACCGAGTATCAACCCCAACAATCTCCAAGTCTCGAACCCGGTTAAGTACCACAGCCTCTTACCACCAAAGTCCAACACTGATCTCTATCCAGCTAGTATCAAGTATCCAGTCTGAAGAAGAAGAAGATGAAGTCTGAAGAAGAAGAAGAAGAAGTCTGAAGAAGAAGGAGGAGAGATGGCAGAGGAGGAGGAGGTGAGGAGGAGAGAGCCGGGGCCGTGGAGGGAGGAGAAGATCCCCTCGCCTCCTGGTACCTGGCTGTGCTGCAGTCTGACTGCAGGTCGCGGCTATGGCCGCCGTACTGCCAATGGCTGCTGCCCAGCTCCTCGCTCGTCGCTGCTGCTGCGCTAGCTCGCGCTGCTGCTGCTGCTCCACTCCTGCGCTAATTTTAGCGCTCTGCCTCAACTGATACGCACTGGCGCTTATGCAGCATGCCAGTGGCTCGATGCCTCACAATGAGGCTGCACCGGTCTTTAGTACCGGTGGAAAAGAGGCCGGCCTCAATGCTGCGAGGCCTGGCCGTGATCTGAACCGTCAGGATTGATGATTCAGATCGGATCGGTGGGCGGCAGCCTCAAAAGCGTCGCCAGGCCCAAAACGAGAACGTCGTTTGGGCCTGCCCGTCGGTCTGGTCCAAAATGTGGCCTTTCGGCCTGCTGTACCCCCAAGTCTGGGCCTTTAGGCACTACTGTGTCCCTCTGGCCCTAAGTCGGGGCGAGGGCGGAGTTGTCTGTCCGATACCGGGTTGGGTCGGGCGGGACGAGCTGCTTCCTTGGCAAGGCGTCGCTTCTCAAAGTCGACGAAGATAAGGGGTGCAGAAGTCTGCAAGTCTGCACTAGAGATGCACCGAGTGTCGTCAGGCGCACATTGCTTGAATGTGACTTTGAACTGCAATGGCTTGTTGCCATACTTGCGGTGCGTGATGACTCGGTCCACTTCCTGATATCCGTCCATAGATGGCGGATCCTGTGATCGTCGGCCGGGAAACTCGTCAGCGGGAGGTGGCGTGTAGATGGCCAGCTTTGATGCGTGGAAGACCCGGTGCACTGGAAGGTGCGGAGGAATGTTGACCACAAAGGAAGGACCTGCGGGGTCGTCTCCAACGGCAGAAGTAACTTCCCATGGTCCGAACCATTTCGGAAGGATTTTGCGCAAAACGTCCTGCTCGAGCGCAAATTTCGCGGAGAGGACCCAAACAAGGTCTCCCTCGCGGAAAGGACATGGAAGTCGACGTCGGTTAGCTTGCTGCTGCATGCGGATTTGAGCCTTTTGCATATTCGCGTGGGCTTTGATCAGCAAGTCCCGGTACTTCCGAACGGAAGCGGGAGAGCAAGGGACGTCTATGTCGGCGGCCTGTGGCAGAAGGAGATCAGCGAAGATCCGTGCTTTCTCTCCACCATGATGTAGCTCGAATGGTGTGACGCAGATTGTCGGGTGCACCGAAGTGTTGTAGGCGAACTCAATGTCGGGAAGCCGGTCAACCCAATCTTTCTGGTCGGGACGGATGAGTGTACGCAACATCATCTGAGCGGTCTGGTGTGCTCGCTCCGTCTGGCGATCCTTCTGCGGGTGCCGAGCCGAGCTCGGCTTCATCGTCGTGCCGGACTCAGCCATAAGGGAAGTCCAAAAGGCCGACACGAAGCGAGTATCTCGGTCGCTCACTATGTCTTCCGGTACACCCTGGTTGGTAATCCAACCGGTGTGCAAGAGTCGTGCGAGCTCAGGCGCTGCAGCATGATACTTGCAAGGAAGGAAGCGAGCATACTTGCTCAAACGATCAACGACCGTGAGAATACCATCATGGCCGAGGCGATCGCGGGGGAACGGGCCTCTCACGTCCATCGCAATGGAGAGTCGCGGTGCCCGAGGAATCGGCAATTGTTTCAGTTCGCCGAAGGGGACTCGAGATCGACCCTTGTTACGGTGGCAAACTGCACATGACTCAATGTACCTCGTGACGTCATGAAGGACGTCGGGCCAGTGAAAACGCTGGCGGAGGCGTGCTAACGTGCGGTTYACGCCAAGGTGTGCCGAAAGTYGTGCGTCGTGGAATTCGCCGAGAAGACGAGTCCGTAAGATGCGATCTTGGGGCACAACTAACAAGTCCTTTCCTCTCGTGTGAAGGAGAAGGAATCCGTTGGAAATCCGATAATGGCTAGCCGGCGGGTGATCCGATGAAAGCTTCGCGTAAAGCGTAGAGTAAGTCGGATTGGACTTGTAGCCTTTGATGAAATGCGGCTGCAGATCGTCATCGAGGTCGAGTGTCGTGGTCACAATGGCACAAAAGTCGGGCTGTCGTGAGAGGGCGTCCGCAACTCGATTGGCGGGACCGGGAATGTGGCACGGGTCAAAGTCGAACTGGTCGATGTAATACATCCATCGACCGATCGTGCTAGCGACTGTATCCTGCGTTTTATAAAAGGTCAACGGATTGTTGTCCGTATTCCATTTAAAACGCCGACGACCGAGAAGAAAGTGGCACCACCGTTTGAGAACGGTGACGAACGCGAGTAGCTCTTTCTTCCTAGCGTCGTCGAGAGTGTTGACGAGAGGCACCTTTTGGGAGAAATACTCTACCGGATGCCAACCGTCCTCATGACATTGTTCCAGCACCGCACCAATTCCGTATCCCAAAGTGTCCGTAGTCACTTGGGTGGGAAGGGTGGGGTCGTATATATGGAGGGCAGGTGCCGCTTGCATCGCTGCCTTCAACGTAGTGAACGCGCCCCGAGCTGCGTCGTCGAACTCAAAGGGCACCTTTGGGGACTGAAGTCTCGACAAGGGAGCAGTCACTTTCGAGTATGACTCGACGAATCGCTGATAATATCCAGCCAAACCCATGAAAGAGCGTACATCCGTCGTGCAACGGGGTTCCGACCAATCCACTATGGCTTGGATCTTGTCCGCTAAGGGACGAATGCCTTTCGGCGTGACATAGTGACCCAAGTACTCAAGCTCCTGCTTGGCGAACTCGCATTTGTCGAGATTCGCTTTGTACTTGGCCAGTCGCAAACGATCCAAAACAGCGCGAAGGTGTACGATGTGCTCATCCAGTGTCCTACTATAAGCCAAGATGTCATCGAGGTAGATGAGGACGCTACGATCGAGCAAGTCGCAAAACTCAGTTGTCATGGCTGCTTGGAAAGTCGCGGGGGCATTGGTGAGGCCAAATGTCATGACAACCCACTCAAAGTGCCCATGCCGCGTCTTGAACGCGGTCTTGTACC